CCCCTCACAGTTATCAGAGTGAGCTGAGCTCATGGCGTAGATCTACGGTTTGGACCCTGAATGTAAAGCCGTAGATCTACGGACGGAAACCCCGAAAGGGTTTAAAGAAATGCCAGAAAAAGACCTCTCTGGACAGATATTGTGTGCGCAGGGGTCCAGTGATTCTCAAGTTGTTCCCATTGACAATAAAAGAAAAAAGGGAAATAACCCCAGATAAGGACTTGCTACCTAAAGTCCTAATGGAAGGAGATTCTCCTTCCAAACAATAGTGTACACCTTTCCCCCTATCCCCTCCTCCCCTTCCATCCACACAGAAGTCTTCAGTAAAGGCAAATGTAATGTTTTTTATTTTTTTAGATGCATGTACTTGATTTCTGATTGTTTTCATTATGTAAATCTTTATTTAATTTGAAAAAAATATTTAAATATTTTTGGGTGTCTGGAACGGATTAATTTTATTTCCATTATTTCTTATCGGGAAAATGGTTTCGAGTTTCGTGAATTTCGACCTTCGGCGGGCTCTCTGGAACGGATTAATCACGAAACTCGGGAATCCACTGTATATCTTTTTTGGCTGTAATAGATGAACTTATTAAATCTTTTTTTCTGTCTTGTGTGTGAAATCTGAGCATAACACTTTTTCTCCCTTGGTGCCGTAGTAACCGTGATTCTTTAACCCCTTCAGGGTCCAAGGCCAAAATCTGAAGTGGTGCTCCAGTGTCCAAGAAATTTTGAAAAAAAAAAAAAAAAAAATTATTTTTTTTTCTTACAGAATTAAAGAGCATATTTTTGTGAAGGTAATAAGACAAAGAAAAAAATTTTCTGATCAGTACTTACCGAGATACAGTGCCAAGAAGTTTGTCCAAAATGATGTGGTGGCGGCAACATCGACGAATTCCACATACGCGCATTACATTATTTAGCGGTTTTTGTAGTTTTTTCTTTTCTTTTCCAATTTTTTTCTATTCCTACTAACATTTGGGGCCTGAGAGACCAATACTGTATATAATGTATATATATATAAACTCACTGTATTGAACACAATAACCGCACTAAAGTTGTTTATTACAATAAACATGCACAAATCTTGTATAATACTAATGTTCTATCATATATTTACATATTTACAATCACTGGACATGGTTTTAGAACTGCTGGAGCTTGTGGAACTCCTTGAAACAAGGCACCATGCACAGAGGCACCTTACATTCCTCACACATAAACCGAGTGTCTTTGCGTCTTTGTTGCCGTCGTTTTGTTTGTGCACAGACGATGCATCTCTTCTGAGCAAATTTCTTCTGAGTTGAAGGAAGCTGTATTATTGAAATGATCACCTTCCCTCTCAAACGCTTGGGTATATCTGAGTAATTCGAGGACCTTGTTGTATAGCAGGTGTTCTTACTGGTACTTCATTATGAGTTGTCTGACAACAGACAAACAAAATTCACCATATGGTGGTCTGTTGCCAGTCTTTATTTGGTACATATTTATATGCATTGAGCATTGAAATGTCCATGAGATGGAAAAAAGTTTCATGTACCACTTGTAACTCTTACGAACACAGTCAACAAAACCAATCTGCATGTCACATTTGAACCATAGCGCATGTTTTGTGTATAATCAATCACTGTCACACTGGTTTTCGAATACGTTCATTAGTCGCTCGATCCAACTTTACCACTGTCTTGCATTTCATTACGGTGAATGTGTCAAAATGTGACATCTCGTTTGTCATGCCACCGTAATGCCATGATGTCATTGGCATGTAAACACCTGCACGTCATCACCACAGAGCACCTGCGTTCAGCCTGGGCATATGTTTACGATTAGAACGCACTGTGCCACACACATCTGTCTTGTTCTCTCACATGAAATCACTGAGTAATGGGCTTGTGTAACCAGTTTCGGTATATAATGTATGCCCCTTACCAAGATAAGGTGCCATCATGTTTCTCACTACGTTACTAGATACCCAATAACATCTTGGTATCTTTCAATGTTTTACTTCCGTGTATACAACAATATCCAACACCAGGCCACTGTCACAGTCACAGAGTACAAACAGTTTTATACCAAAGCGTTTCCTACTTGCTCGGTATATACTGCTTGAATGACAGTCTACCTTTGAACAAAATCAAAGACTCGTCAATTACAAGATTCTTGAATGGATAAAAGTATATGCTGAACTTTTGTTTGAGATACATGAAAACATTTCTAATCTTGTATAACCTGTCACTTCTGTCAGGCCTGGTTTTGTCAGAGAAGTGCAACATACGTAAGAGTAAGATAAACCTGTTCACTGGGATGATTTCACTGAAGATCGGGGTAGAAATTAGCCGATCTGTGGACCAGTATGCTTTTATATTATGCTTATAGACATGAGGCATAAGCATTATTGTTGCAAAAAGCAAATACAGTACATTTCTGCAACAGTCGTCTCTTTCCACCTGTGTAGTCTTGACTGTGGTGATATGATCGTATTTGCCATGGTGTACTCAAAATACTTATTACTTTCCCTGACAATAGTTTCCATCAATGGCTGGTCAAAGAATAATTCAAAGAATTCCAGTTCATTGGCCGTGGTTCCAAGGGGACAAGTAGGTAGAATTCCACTTTGAGAGTCATCAAAGTGGTGAGGCTTGGGAACAAAATTGGGATTTTGCTGCCAATCCCACATACGGTTTGCTGGTGGATACTGGACATCATAGGCTGGCTGTGTGGGTGGTTGTGGTTGTGGTGGGCTGGTGGCTGACGCTCCGCTTAGTCCTTGAACTGACGAGTCAGCAGCATGGGTCCCAGTGTGGCCTGGTGAGTCGCGCATGGCGGTGCCACTACCATCACCACTACCACCATCCACTGATGCCTGTGGTATATCCATGCCAAGTGTAGCCACATCATCCTCACTATCACTACCTAAAACTGGTGTTGGGCCACGGGATGTACTCCGTCCCCTGGGCACAGCATAGGGTACACTACCCGAGTACATGCGGCGGCGAACATACCGACGCTTCACTGGTGAATATGATTCCTCACTATCACTATTTGAATGATCGTCAAGCGCAATAAAATCACAATCCACGTCACTATCATCATCATTACTGAAGTCAGAGGCCTGGCCACGCGAAAATATTAGTTTTCTCTTGCGTTGAGGCACAACCGACCGTGAGTCAGGAGTGCCCACACCAGAGGTAGAAGGTTGAGGATCGTCAGGGTTTTCTGCACTATTATCGATATCCTGGTCATTCTTTTCGGTCACTAACTGATTCAAAGCCGTGAATTCGTCTTCATTTCCACTTCCTCAGTGTCAGAACTATCAGATAGGAAGAGGAGAGTCCCAATTTTCCCGGTGAGTGAGAGCTGACTTGCGACGAGGCATGTGAACAAGGGTAACCTAGCCGGCGTTCCCACAATGCTATGCGGGCGCCTAGATTTTTTGTTTATGGTGCACACCCACCACGCAGACCCGTTCTCTCACATGTAGGCCTATGAGCGCTTTCGTGCTAAATTTGACGACGCTAAAATTTTGGCGTAGATCTACGGTTTGGACACTCAACGTGAAGCCGTAGATCTACGGGACGGACCTTTAAAGGGTTAATTTCCGACACTGGCACATTAACATGTAGGTGGTCACTTATGATCTGGAGAGTTGTAGCTTTGCAGCTGGTATGGTTTAATTTACTAGGAAAGAGTGGACTGTTAATTACTACTGCATTGGCTAGGTTATCTTGTTCTGCCTTGTCATCTTGGTAAGCAAAATAATTGTTCAGTTGGGTATCCATGTTTGTTTTCCAGTCCTTGACAGCATCTTCAATCTTCGTGTTTAGGGAAGTTATTTGGTCTGTGTGACTGGCTATGACTGATTGGAGGGTCTTGCCAAAATCATTCGTGCCAGTTGATGTTAGCTGTTGTTCAAGGCTGTTGATCTTATTTTCAGGGTGAAGTTAGTTTAGATTCATGGTTTGTTATTGATGGGACGGAGAGACATATTTTCAGCACGAAGGTTAAAGTTATCCGCCGTTAGGGTGGTGATGTAATTCTTAAGAGTGTCAGGATCATTAGTCATACCTGGGAGCATATCAGATGAGTTAAATCCTATGATGGGAGTAGAGGTAGAGAGGGAGTCAGTTACGGTTGGTGTGTAGTCGAGTCGCCTGGGTAGGTGGGTGAGGGTGGAGTCGGCCATGTTTGTTGTTGGTGATACATCGCGCTTGGTGGTGATGGGGGTGGATGGGGCACCGGCATCCTGCTGGGTCATTTTATGGAATAGTCGGTTTCTAGGTGCTGCCTTGCTGTTCTTAGTGCTGTTTCTTCTATGAGTTGGTCTCATAGTAGTACAAGAGTTGTTGTGGTTGGTTGAAGAAACTGAATTAGTTGAAAGCTTGGAGTGGGTAGTTGTCTGGCAGCGGGGCTGGAGTTTGAGGGGCAGTCTTCGCTTCAATCGGTAATTTTTCTGTTTGTAGGTATCACTGTTGTTTGTCTTGGGTCATTCTGGGTTCTACGTACGTTAGTGCAGTTTTGATTGCAATTAGGCCATCATAAAAGCGTTGATGGGCTCTGCAGGTGAGAAAAATGACAGAGCTTGCTGCCTCTGCTGCCGCTGCCGCTGCCCAAGCCAAAGCATTCTAAAACACTTAAAAAAATGTTCTCTTTTTTTCTATAAATTTTTTTTTTTTTTCAAAATATTCGGGGCGCTGCGTGAGTGAATGTGTATTTACGTTTGGACTGTTTAAGGGTTAAGTGAGGAGATGCAGTATGTGAAATGGCCAAAATTTTGCTCTGGCTATATTTTCTCTATTTTGATGATATTGTATTAGTTTCCCATGATACCAAGTACAGAAGGTACAGTGTTATGAAGAGAATACAGTATCATGTATTTTTTCCTTCATTATTTTTCTATCTGTTCTCTTGCTGTCTTGGACCTAAGAAATGATGAGGCATAATGAAGTGAATTTTTAATATGTCTGTCACTGCTACTTGAACCTCATTTCTTTTATTTTCAGGAAATATCAGACAAAATTAAAGAATTAGAATCAAGTGAGGTTGACTTCAATGACGAAACAAATTCTGCATATTTGGTGGAGGAAAGGTAAGAATTTTTTGGTGTTGTAATTGTCAGTTAATGTTATAAGAAAGAAGAGGATAAGTTACAATGAAAGATACTGTTCAATAAAATACCTAAGTGTGTTAGACATCACTGTAGAAAAAGGTTGAATAATAGACTTTTGGATATACATATTTTTAGAGTTACTACTAACATTTTAGCTAATTATGTAGTGGAAGGTGGGAAAAGGGAAATGAAAGTAAATAAATTAACACATTAGAATCACAGAATGAGCAAGTCATACCAGAAAATTTTACTAAGAGGTAAGCAAGATGAAGCATGGAGAGCAGAATGAAAATGAAAATGGACTTTATTTTCAAAACACTTACAATGGTTATAAATAATAGATGGTAGGGACAAGCTTACTGGACAGCTACTGATCATGTAAGGCTGAGATTGACTGAATGCTAAATTTGATGTGTGTTAATATATAGATATACAATAGTGTGCATATTAATTGAGACAATGATGAAATAAAACATTTATTTGGAAAATTAATGTTTATTTGAAAAATAAGTGGCAATGATATGACAGATAATTGATTTAATAAGAAATGTGAATACCCTTTGCTTTTAGAAGCATTGCTACATGCTTTGGTATAGAATCAATCAATGATGAACACAATTTGGCATTTGCATTGTCGTGGTACCAAATCCTAATAACAGCAGCAGTTAGCTTCTCCACAGTTGAAGAGTTGTGTTTTACAATCTTTCATTTGGTTATTACTCCATAAATTTCTCAATTGGGTTGAGGTCAAGAGAGTGTCAAGGCCAATTTAGAATGCTTAGCCCATGCTCTTCAAAGAATGCCAGCATTTTTCTGGAAGTGTGACATGGAGCAAGATCCTGCTGAAAAAAATACCTTCTCCATCAGGAAAGTCTTTATCCACAATGGGAAGCAAATGAATTGTCAGGATTGCCTCGTGTTTGTCACTGTTCATTGTTTCCTCAACAATAACAAGCTGTTCAGGATGTTTAGCAGTACAACTACCCCAAAACATCTTAGGTGGGTGTTTTGGCACTTGTTGAATGTGTCCATTTTGAAGAGGTTTGCCTTTGCTTATCTCACTTCCACTGATCTGTACCATCGTACTCTGAAATGTGCTACATCTGAAAATGTAACTTTTCTCCATGCATCTGTCATCCATCCCTTATGATCTGGTTCCCACCACAGCTGTTTTTTTATTTCATTGCAGCAGTCAATAATAGTTTCTTTACTGGCTTTCTGGCAGTTCTGCTAACTTTAGGGAGCCTTTGTCGAACAGTTGAAGAATCAACATTTACGCTAGCTGAAGCTGAATCTCTCTGTAGATCTTTGCTGGTTTTCTTTGCACACTACAGAAGTCATCTAAACTGGATTGTTTATTTGTGTTGCATTAATAATTGGTTGGCCAAATGTGGTGGTGAAAACACATGTGGTGGTGAAAATAATACAAGATCATGGTTGCTCATTTGGGCTGGAAAATAAATGATAATAGTTAATATATACTTTAATGGTCAATGAAAGCAATAATCGCAAGAGGTTTAGAATTTTTTTTCTAACACTAGTCTTGAAGCAGTTGCCAAATAGGGAAGTTTTTTTACATTTTTGCATAGTGAGTTCCATATTTCAGGACCTTTTATTTGCATGTAGTTTTGTTATTACTGTTCTTACTGTTGAACAACGGTTTAGTGCCGATGAGGTAGCGTAGGTAGCAATGATACGGCCGTGGACTAGCTTGGCTTTAATTGGATAAGAGTGAGTACACAACGGGCAAGGTGAGGGAATGACCAATAGCCAGTCCGTGGAGGGGGAGCACTTGTACCTCTCAAGTCGGTTGGCCAGGAAGTGAGACCGAATGAGCCCAGCATCCCCCCGATCTGGGTAAGCCTACAGAGGGCAGCACTTAAATGCCGTGAAATATGAACTAAACTGGCAGACGGCATAGGCTGTCTGTGCTGACAGTTTGTTAGGTAAGACACATATGCAACAGTTAGACAACTTTATTCTGAAACGTTTCGCCTACACAGTAGGCTTCTTCAGTCGAATACAGAAAGTAGGCAGGAACAGTAGAGATGTGAAGACGATGTAATCAGTCCATCACCCTTAAAGTCGTAGAATTTGAGGTTGTCAGTCCCTCGGCCTGGAGAAGTTCAGTTCCATTGTCAGATAGTTCCTGACAATGGAACTGAACTTCTCCAGGCCGAGGGACTGACAACCTCAAATTCTACGACTTTAAGGGTGATGGACTGATTACATCGTCTTCACATCTCTACTGTTCCTGCCTACTTTCTGTATTCGACTGAAGAAGCCTACTGTGTAGGCGAAACGTTTCAGAATAAAGTTGTCTAACTGTTGCATATGTGTCTTACCTAACAACCTGTCGGTATTGTATACCATTTTGATGTTCATCAACTGTGCTGACAGTACAGGCTGTCTACATTTGCTCAGCCACGCACCTCGTGTCGTCCCGACGCGACAATACTGGTGGGCCCATCGGTGCAATAGAATTACTTACACTAGCTACCCCAGGGAGGGACTGGCTTTCGCTCACTTGTAAATAAAAAAATGGACATAAAATGCAACAGAAAAAAAAAAAACTCCCATCCTGGGGAAGAGAAAACTGGCTTGCCCGCGCTGCTTCATTGAGGAGAGAGTCCGGAGACGTCAGCACTGGAACTAAAATCTTCTATATACAGGTTGTCCTCAGGGCTGAACATCAGGCTTGACTACTCATCTACGAACGCTGTTGCTCCCTCACTTCTGCAAACAATGACTGACAGTAGCATTTCCTAAGGTGTGACATGTGACTCGGAGGGCAGCACTGCCCCGACCTTAATACAGGCTTTAAAAGCGACACTGGGTGCATATACCTACAATAATACTATATCCATGGAATTCATTATACTCTGGGTACCCTTCTAAAAGTATTTGCATATTTATATGATGTTGTCCACCCTGACTCCATTACCAACTAGCTATACAATGTGTGCACATTTATACCCATTTCTGCAAGCAAACAATTAGCATAACTAGTGTAGGAGTCAGACAAGTCAGTAGGTAAGTCAGTGTCACAGAAATGTACTGTTGTCCTGGGTCACAGGCCATAAGTATGGAGCCTTACTGGGCTGTCTTAAGTAACAGTAGTAGTGGGAGAAGAAGTAGACAGGTTGTCCCTAGCATTGGTCTGATTGTGGCATTGCAATGCACGTGACTTCAGCTCTGCTTTGGCCTGCACGTGGTCCACAAATTTCATGTGATCAAGGTGGGCTTCTTTGATAGTTCCGGTAGCAATCTCCCTCACCTCGAACTTATTGCCATGGAGCTGTTGGAGGACACGGTAAGGACCCACAAATTTTGGGACAAGTTTGTGCATACCTGGGGTCTGTGCTGGGTTGAGCAACATAACTTTGCAACCTGGTTCCACCTTGCTTTCCTTGGCGAGGGCACTGCGCTCAGACATGATCCTATCAGTAGCTTTCATAAGGTTCTCTTGTACCCGCTGGAAAACAAGCTGTGTTGTCCGCATCTTTACTGCACTGGGGTTATCAATGTTGTAAGTAGGTCGAGGCGGAGCAAACAGAATTTCGTATGGTAAGTGCTTGTCAAAGCCATACAAAGCGAAATGAGGTGTCTCACCGATTGAGCTGTTGAGGGAGGAGTTTAATGTACACTGAACATCTGGGATAGCCTTATCCCATGTAGTACAACTTGGGTTAACGGTTACCCTGAGCACCTCCAGGACTTTGTGATTTGTACGTTCGGCAAGACCATTACTCGCAGGGTGACGTGGAGCTACCAGTGCTTGGTGAATGTTAAATCTGGAGCAAAGATCCTGCATTATGGCGTTTATGAACTCAGACCCATTGACAGAAGGACACGTGGGCAGGTATGACGGAGAATCACATGCTCCCGGAAAGCATTAGCAACAGTCTCGGCAGTTTTATCAGGAATGGGTACTAATTCGCTGTACTGCATCAAATTATCTACCATTACAAGCAGGTGCTTATTTCCCTTCTCCGAGGTCGCGAAGTTCGTCAACAGGTCGACAGAAGTTCTCTCCCAGGGCTCCTTTGTAATGGGATACTTTAGAATGGGGTTAGGGCCTGTAACGGTACCCTTGTGCTGTAGGCAAACGACACACTGGTGTACATGCTTGGCAATGTCCGCTGCCATCTTAGGCCAGAAATATTTCATTTGCGCCTGTTTGATACTGCGGTCCTTCCCGGGGTGCGCTACACCTGGGACATCATGGATCAACCTCAGAGTAGCCGGTATCATGGACTCCGGTATCACCAGTTGGTATATGGTTCTGCCGGGGTCCACCAGCTGTGCAACATGGCACAGTACTCTTTGGTTGACCACCAAATCCTTCAGTGGAACGGGAGACTTGACCTGTAAGTCAATGTCCTCCTTGGTCAGGAAACGAAGGACTGGAGACCACAGGGGGTCCTGCCATTGGGCTCTCTCAAGATCCTCAACAGAGAACGATTTGCCGACACTCACGAATGCTATATGCCTCGACAGGGCATCAGCTACAACATTTTGCTTACCTGGGACATAGCAAATTTCAGGGTTGTAGTAATTGAACGTGAGCGACCACCGAGCATGCTTTCCCGAGAGGTTCTTATTAGCAAAAAGGGCCAGTAAAGGCAGATGATCTGTGTAAATCTTGATAGGATAATGGTAGATGATATCTCGAAAATGACTCAAGGCCCATACGATGGCTAAAGCTTCTAGCTCTGTCACTGAGTAATTGACTTCCGCTTTAGTAAGGACACGGCTAGCATAGGCAATAGGCTGTTGCTTACCAACATGACTCACGAAATCGTAATGACACAATTGCAAACAAACCATACCCCGGCCGGGATTGAACCCGCGGTCAGAGAGTCTCAAAACTCCAGACTGTCGCGTTAGCCACTAGACCAGCTAGCCACAATAAGATTTGTCCAACTAGGTATATTTCTACACATAGGAAGGTTAGCACAGGCACCACTGTGACCACA